GTTTCAGGCTTCATCCAGGCTGACCCTGAATTCATTATGTAGATGAGGCTTTCCTTAAACTCCTGATCCTCTTGCCTCTATATCCCAAGGGATTACAGGCATGTGCCAATACACTCAGCAAAACTGCTTACCTTAATCACTTTTTAAAAACATTTTTATTTATTTATTTTGTGTGAGGGAGGCTTGAGCCATGACATACATGTGGAGATCAGAGGACAGTCTACAGGATTGATTCTCTCCCTCCATCATGTGGCTTCTGGGGAATCAAACTCAGGTCATCAGACTTGGCAACAAGTGTCCTTATCCACTGAGTCATCTCACCAGGCCATCATCTTAATCATTTTGAGTGTGTTTAATTCATTGAATTAAATACAATCATCATGTGGTGCCACCATTGCCACATCTGCCTCCCACCTTTTTGTCTTGCAGATCTGAAGCTGTACTAATTAAACAGTTTGTCTGTAGATTTGAAACTATACCCATTACACAGTAACTGCTCATTCTCCTCTTCCCATGCTTGCTCCCAGCAACCACCATTCTACTTTCCATCTTTCCTACTGACTTAAAGTTCCTCCTACAAATGGAATCTTACATTATTTGTCTTCATGACTGTTAATTTTCTGTTGCTATGATAAAATACTGTGACCAAAAGCAGCTTTTAGAAGAGTTTTATTTTGGTTTACATTTCCAGAGAGAGAGAGCCCATAATGACTGGGAAGGCAGGGGTTGGTGGCAGGAGGAAGAAGCTGCTGATCACATTTATCCACACAAAACAGAGAGAATTCAGGAAGCTGATGACACTCTAAACCCTCAAACCCTGCCCCCACTGATGTACTTCCTCCAATAAGGGTCCATCTCCTAAAGGTTCCAAAACCTGGGCTAGAGAGACGGCTCAGCGGTCAAGAGGACTTGCCACTGCTGCAGAAGACTTATGTTCAGTAAACAGCACTGGACAGTTCACAGCTGCCTGTAACTCTAGTTCCAGGGGATCTGACACCTTATTCTGGCCGCCACCAGCACTGCATACAGACAAACAGGCACACATACATAAATTCTAAAGGTTAAAAGCAAAGGTTCTATAATAGTGGCTTAATCAGTTGAGGACCAAGTGTTCAAATACATGAGCCTATAGATTCATCTGTGTTTTGCTATGTCTGTTTTTTTTCTTCTTCTTTTCGTTCTTTTTGAGACAGGGTCTCCCTGTAGCCCCAGCTGACCTAAAACTCTCTGTGTAGACCATGCTGGCCTCAAACTCCCAAAGATGCACCTGCCTCTGCCTGCCAAGTGGGATTAAAGACATGCATCCACACCTGGCCATTTCTTGCCTTTTTAATGGTATTAGACTGCATATATTTTGCTTATTCCTGCATCTGTCACTGGAAACTTAGATTGCTTCTATGTTTTAGCATTGCAGATCATGGTTCTATGAGCATAACTCTTTGAGGCTCTGCTTTTAGTGCTTGTGGAGATACCCAGAAGTGGAATTGCTGAATCATATGTAACTGTAGATCTAGTTGTTTTTGTTATGGATTTTCTTTGAGAATCAGATGAAAGCTATTAGTCTCTGCCTCAAAAAAATAAAAAAAAAGAATATGCTATTTTGCATTTATTTCAGGAGTTTCTAGATTCCTTTTTTAAAATCTTGTTTTTATTAAACTTTGTTGTATTTCATACAGAATATCTCAAACAATCTGAATCATCTATATAGCCCTATTCCCACTAGCAAGCTCCCATAGCCCCCCCCACTGGAACCTTTATACTCTGTCCTGGGTGTTAAGGTCCACTGTGTCAAGTCAGTGTCCCCACGCATTCCCCAGTGCAAGTCCACCCACTTGTGGTTTAATCAGATCTCACTCATCTACCGGTCCGAACACCTACCATTTTTTTTTCTTTCTTTTTCTTTTTCTTTTTTAACAACATAGGATGGGGGTTTATTTTACAGAGGAGTGGACATCCCCCATTTATGGCTACACTGGAAAGTCCACACTCAAATACAGATCCTGTGACTTCCAGACAGCCGAAAATGGTAAGAGAGGTGCCTCCTGGCCTTCTAGGCTTCTAGATCCTTAGCCCCTTCCCCACATGCAGCTAAGATCTGCTGATTGGGTGGAGGGGTAAGTTTCTAGATTCTTTTTTTTTTTTAATTTTATTATTTTTACTTTTATGTGTATGAGTGTATTGCCTACATGTATG